ATAATGAATTATATAATTAATAATTAAAGTGTGCAAAAAATTATATATAAATAATAAGTTACCAAATAAATTATATAATAAATAATTAGAGCGTGCAAAAAAATTATATATAAATAATGAGGTACCAAATATATTATATATAAATAAATTCAGTGGGCAAAAATTATATATAAATAAAAAGGTTGCAAATAAATGATATATAAATTTAAAAAGTGTGCATAAAATTATATATAAATAATAATGTTGCAAATAAATTATATATAAATAATTCTGGTTTGCCTAAAATAATATGTAACTATTTAGGTTGCAAAAAAAATTATATATAAATAATGCAGTGGCAAATAAATTTATTTACATATAATGGCCACTGCCAAACAATTATTTACATATAATGGTCCGGAAAACTGAATTATATAATAAATAATGAATTATATATAAATAATTTTGTTAAATAACTTATTTACACATGGCACCTCATACTAGGCAGCCCTGCGCTTTCCGCCTTGGAAAAAAATATATCTCGTAAAAACGAACTTTGGAAAAAATATATCTCGTAAAAACGAACTTGGAAAAAATATATCTCGTAAAAACGAACTTGGAAAAATATATCTCGTAAAAACGAACTTTGGAAAAAATATATCTCGTAAAAACGAACTTGAAAAAATATATCTCGTAAAAACGAACTTGGAAAAAATATACTTAATGGCACTACAGGGCTTTCGTACAATCCGGGCTTTCGGGCTATAGCTCCCATGGTTTGATTTATGTGAGTTTGACCATGTATGTATGGAGTAGGGTTGAGGGCCAGGTCGGCACTGTTACAAGATGAATGAAAAATACGCGAACTTTAAAAGGAAAGCCTTTTCTAAAAAGGGTCATTTGTAGACTAGTTTTTCGTGAAAATAAGACATATTTGGATTGAGCGCACGGGGACATCAGTTTTATACTGTGTTCAAACTCGATAAGTTTTACATATTTCTCAACCTTAACAAAAATCGTTATTTTCCCCAGGTAGGCCTATACAGGTATCCCATACCCGAGTGCACTGGCTGCAGAATGTGGCATGTGTTGAAACTTTTAACCTCATCAGTCTTCGAGGGAAGAAGTTTCTAATTATTTTTGAAGACCATCCCATACATCTTTTCAATGTTGTTGCCGTGAGTAATTCAACACACACTGACCTCCTGTACATGTGTCTCTGTAAGATGGTGAAATTAACTTTTAAAATGTGTTAAAAATACACCTCGGTCGAAATGTGTTAAGTGATTACCCCATGTTCACCAGACACTTATATTCATTCCGTTTATGTATTCATGAAATTTATCTATACTGTAAAATTCAAGACCGTGAACCCAATGCATGCATAGCCAAATCCATCCAACTCAAAATTTTATTTCACACTACCATGTCCGCCTTAACAAAGTCATTCTTGTCGAGTCATGCGCCAAAAAAAGAGATGCGTACCCCGTGCTCTCTAAAAAAAAATAAAAAGTTAAAAACCCCAAATTTGCGTTAACCTCCCTGGCGAGAGCCGAATAAAATTATTGAATGACATTTATAGTTTTTTTTCAAATAGCAATTGAAAAAAAGTAAATAAACTTTCGGGGTGTAACTCAAAAGAAGCGTGGGAAACCGATCTTTTATCAAAATAATTATGCGAATATCAAAACTGCTACTGGACGATTATTCTACACATTTAATGAAATTGTTTTGTGAGAAATTCAAGTTAACTTAAAAAAAGTCTTGAGCTCTTTGGTAATCAAATATTTTCTGTATTATATTCAGGTGCCTGCATGACATCCCATGAACTTTTAGAAATGGCAGCCGATTGTGCTTGGTTATCCAGAAGGGCCAAGATTCAAGGTACGTGTATTAAGAAACTAACCATCGCAGTTACTAAATTGATTGGTCCAAAGATATCAGCGACAAACACCTTAAATACACTTCTGAAACGAGCACCATAGACCTAATGCAATGCCGACTTCCAAGACCATAAACTTGGGGAAGAACCAACTTTTTGTTCGTTGCGTACATGCATTTGAACATGAAGTTGTTTAAACATAAAAATGCGTCAAACAGGCTGGCGCTTTAACTCTCAACCAGGGATTTTGGCTCCTAGAAAATATTGAAAATATTAAATCGCAATTAGTAACTATTGCATATACTTCCCTATCATCTTATGAACTTGAAACTGGTAGGTAAAATTGCCGGTGAAGAGTTTTCTTGTGGAAAGCTGATAAGTTGCTACATGGGTAGATCGGGGGGGGGGTGCTTGAAAATAAAGCATCAAAAAATTGTTCCACATTTTATCAGCGTATCTTGGAATAATTTATGGATATTTTTTCCCCTATTATATTTATTTTTTCCCGGGGGATCCGGGAGACATCACTTCCTGATAAATTGTCCATTGTAAGCATTGATAAAATTTGTTCTTTTTTTGGCGACATTTGAACAAATGTAAGAGATAAGCAAAATGTTCAAATATATTTATTACCTCCGTGACATCATCACTTTCGATAGTTGCCACAAACTGTTCAGCTTTGGCAAGCCCGACTCCAGCTAACGAGGGGAAGTAATCACAACCACTCAAGATGCACATCTGCTTAAACTTGTTAGCTGGATATGGAAACACCTTGTTTACTTCGGCTGTTGTAATGAGCTCACCAGTGCCATGAATAAGGTCATACTTGTAAATAACCTAGAAACAAAAATGTATTGATCAATTGTTAAAAAGGGAGATTATAGCAAAATACTTCTTGTACCAAACATTTCTTATTGACTTCTAACTTCTGTTCATAATTCTCAAAATTAAATAGATGACGCAACACTTGTTAGACAGTTACCAACATGTGTGGATCCAGAGGGGGGGGGGGGGGGTTGGGGGGTTGAACCCCCCCCCCCCCCCCCCCTCCCCCGCCATGCCCTGATCCGGCAAAAAAAAATAATAACAAATATTAAAGTGTTTAAAAAAATAAACACATTAAAGAAAATTAATGTTGCAAATTACTTGCGACAGCAAAATTCTTTAAGATCTCGTTCATGATCTTGTTATGGATAATTACCTTTTTCAAACTTGTGAATTCTGTTTCACATCAAGATTGTTTGCAATGATGTGAAGTGTTGTTTAGCAAAAATAATAACCAAGATTTTGTTTTGCACATTGTAATGAATTTTTCTCAATGTTGTAAGTGAAATTTCCGATGCTGTGAAAAAGACTGTTGGAAGGTATCCCTTCAGAGCCACCTCACTTGTTGTCATGGAGCATTTAACTGGGGGTTAGAATTATGAGCCATATGCAGCTTTTCTCAATGAACTCAATTTTTCAGCCAGTGCAAATGGGGTCAAAGGGAGCCATCAATTTTGTCCCCAGTGCACATCTCTATATATATAAGAGAGAGATTTACTCGGCCTCCGAGACGATGTTTGCTCCTGAAAGGATCCGAGACCGCGGGCTCCCGCGGCGCCAAAATCGCTCCACGTCCGTGGAAAAATACGGAGGGTGTCTTCCGCCGAGTCGGACACTTCGGGTCGTCCTAATTTTCCCGTACGGACCGGCGATCCGTTTCGTCGATTTTTCGTGATTGCGTTTTGCACAGGAATTTGCCGTCGTGTGCGCTTTCACGTTGACTGCCTGGCCGCCCCCTGTGCTGGCTTTTCTGCGAGTCTAGACTTTGCGAGGTCAGCGAGGTCAACGTAGGGGTTTCGTTTACGTGTTCTACTTGGCCGTTCTGCAAAAGCGTTCACCAAACGGTAGTATGGGGTGACCTTGACAAAATATTTTTTCTCCATGGTGCGTGGCCACCAAGTGTCCCTATATTCTTTCCTATGCTTTGCTTGCCGCCCCTACGCCGAGTGCAACGAATACTCAGAAGGACTTCACATTAGTATGCCTTGCGCGGTCTGACCAATCGAAAGTCTAAACTGCGTAGTACTTCCGGGCTATGCGTAAAACCGTCGATGGCAACGCATACTGCAGCCTGCTCCACACCCTGGAAACGAGGTTGGGTCTACGGTGCTCGCTATTTGAAGTACAAGCATTGTGATGTGCATGATAGAGCATAGGGCAAGCTCTATGGATAGAGTGCTGTTGCTTCCATCAAGGCTGAGCCACGTTTTTGTGATGTTCGCTGCCCGCCACGTATAATTCAGTGTCGCGTTAAAATTTCTAGGGCCTGTTTTGGGATCAACGAAGGATTGATGCATTGCTTCAAATATCGCGATCTTTGAAACTACGTTGCATAAATAATAATATCCATTGGCGGACGTTGTTGGCTGTTTGGCCTTGCTTGTGTTGTGGTTGAAAGGCCAACTTATATAAATGTTGAATTGACTTTTTCCACGCAGGTCTCGCAAATTGTAAAAGTATCAAGTTACGGAAGTAAACAAAAAAAGAAACACACTAACAATTTACAAGAAAAAACTATAACAAACACAAATAACTGGACCTCATTTTAAAAACTTTTTTCTTTAACTATGTTTATAGAATATTAAAATGTCAAGGCAAGTCTGATTTCATATTCATTCAGTGGCTACACACAAGCCCTTCAAGTTTTTTCCCAACCTTTTCCCGCCAACACAACTTGACACCTCTCCAGCCGCCTAAGGCTAGCGTCCACTCACCTGGCGAAATTGATAGGCAAAGGAAAATAGAGTCGTGTGTTCCCATGCAACAAAGCATGTAGTTTACAGCCACACCGCACAATACGATTGTTTTAATTGGTTGGAAAAAATATAATTAACCTACTTTTTCTTATCGTGCTCAGGGAAGTATTTTAGCTTATTTTGTTGTTTTTGTGGAACCTACAACAATTTTCAACCATATCTTTCAGTCTTGATTCTATTTAACTTATACATAACCGGTGATTATATCAACTTCATGCTTAGTAAGATCAGCTTCACTTGAGACAGAATTTTTGCCAAATAGTATACCAGATAGAATAACCATCACTGTATGTACATGTGTAACCGTTTAGAGAAGGACACAGGAGAATAACAATAAATTAATTTCCAATCAGCTTTTATTGTGTAACAACAATTTCGTTTGGCCAAACAATTCAATCAAAATACAATCAATGTTTAATTAAAAGGATATGGATCCACGATGCTCAAGTAATACACACAAAAATGGGCCCAATGATGCGCACAGTAGATGGCCGGCCGGCAAGAAAGTCAATGTTACTCTTGGAGCTTTCAGTTCCAAAATAGTGACGTCCAGTCAACCGACTTGACTGAACCGGTGACTCCAACGAAGTCAGTAAACTAGCCCGGTACTGCAAGGCAGACGAAGTCGTTGGTCTCCTTGAGTAGGCTCACTCCAGTAGTTTTACGGAGCACCTCTGATGACCACTGGCCTACTGTAGTAGTTTCCTTTACCAGGTGAACTTCAGATCTGGCAAACGTCAATCAGGTGAGGTCGTCCCTTCAGTTATCTCAACGAGAGACTAAGAAGTTCTCACTTGTATCTGAGAACCTGAGAACTGAGAACAAAATACAATACAAAACATGTACATAAGGTACAAAACCTAATATAGCCACGTGCACGTTTTTACAAGCTATACACTTTTCAATGTGTGTCCATTCCAATACACACTGTTTATAGATTCGTTGCAAGGGCATGCAAATTACCATAGCAAAATGTATTTACAGTTACAGTTACCCATGCAATATATTTCAACTGATCCACCATGAATCTATCATGAGCACTAAACAACTCTTAACCAGCGCAACAATCACTTTAATTATTTCCAATAATTAACAAATCTAGACATGCACATGTTTCAACTACGCATGTGTACTAATGTGCATGTAAACTAACATTGACCCACTGCATTTGCAATCGCAACAAAGTTTGTCTGGGAAAACAAATCAACGGAAATTACTGCTTTCCCTGAATAACAAGAAGGCACAATAAATGCAAACAAAGAAATATAACCCAATGTGAAAAGCTACACGTCAACCCATTTTCTAATCAAAAGCTAGCACTTAAAAATATCCGATTCAAACCCCTATATATATCCCAGCATTACACGCGTTTCCCAAATAAACGTGTGCTTTTACACAGCATGAAAAGTCATTAATTCACACCCCTCAAGTATAGGAAATATCACACACCTGAGAGCCAACAGTATGCTGAGCAGAAATAACGGATTCTTGAGGCACACAATAGGTTGATGATTCGCTCAAAAAGCGACTTTACAGCAAGATGATTCTGGATAAGTTTGTCGAACAAACTTTTATCGACAAACAAACTTCGTGAACAATGGCGATGGCAAGAAAACAGGCGCGTTTTTAGCGAACGCTTGAGGGAGCTACATCACTTCTCGCGACTCCTGGAAAGCAAGTGGCTACACTCCCCCCTTTCTAAACATGTTGTATCGTCCCGATAACATGTCTGTCTGTAGAGAGAAATGATCTACAGAACTCCGGAATCCAACTACTCTGCGCGTTAGCCTGTACTGCTCTACAAGTAGGTTGACCCAACATATCATAAGTGTATCGCTTTGGTGGTTGCCTATTCCTAGAGGGACGTGAAGGGCGACTCTGCAAGGACCCTTCATCCTCTTCAGAATCTGCGGGATGTGGATCACTGATACTGCCCTCCTCAGACTCGGACTCAGCTACTGAATCAAGAAAAGAAGACTCACGGCAAGGAGCTTCAACCACTGAGCTGTTGGGGCTACCATCATCAACAATCATCCCAGTTCCATCTCCAAGGTCATCGGTTTCGTCTGAATGTACCCCACCGCCATCATGCTCAACCTCTACAGTAGTTTTGATTTGAAGTCCCACTTCTCCGAAGCTTTTCTCCTCATCAGAACTTGATACATCTACAGCCCCGGCTGCTTTTGAAGTAACTGTGGGGATATTGTCAGAACATGTGGACTGGCTAATAGGTGTGGGTACTTCTGAACAAGAGGTAATACCCTCTTCAGTGAGAGTCTCTGTCACACCTGTGTCGCAAGTCGTCGTCTCTCTCAACTGATCAGTTACTTTCAGGGCTGTGGAGGTACCTGTATCCTGCTGTACTGAACTCATTGATGGAGTTAGTGGAACAGTTGCAGGAACAAATACATCAGCATCCACTCTCAGTCTGACCGGATCCATCTTTTCACAGCCTGGTTTCATACTGGTTTCTTGACTTTCACTCAGGTCCACCCGTGTCTCCTCAACAGGGTCCAGCTGATCAGTAACCTCATTTGGATTTCCAACTTTAGGCCAAATGAGAACTACTTCCTGATCTTCATCAGGGTCAGTAGCGTCATGTTCCTCCTCACTCTGGACTGGAACTGGTACTGGTGAAGGTTTTAAGTTTGACGTCCGCAGTTTCTGGGCAACAGGTTTTGGAACCTTAGAGGCTGTAACCTTGGGGCTTACTTCAGGAGCAATACCACCAATTGGTAAGACCATGTTCCTATGCAGTGTTCTCAAAATACCAGGTCGAGACTCAGACTTGACCCTGTACACCGGCATATTATCATCTGGGCGGCCAACAACAACATGCACGTCTTGATTCCATTTGTCTGCAATCTTATGAGGGCCTTTGAAACCTACGTTCCTGACGAGTACCCTGTCACCAGTCTGCAACTCACTCCCTCGCACTTTCACATCATAACGTTGCTTGTTGGCAGCTGCTGATTTAGCAGATTCCTCTGACGCACGTCGATAAGCACTCTCCAGGTTACGTCGGAGATTTTGGACATACTTTGTGTGCTCTTTGTGGGACACGCCATCTGGAGCTGTGCCAAAACACACATCAATGGGAAGTCGAGCTTCCCTTCCAAACATGATGTGATAGGGGGAAAACCCTGTGCTATCATTTCTTGTGGAACTGTATGCGTGAACCAGGGGTGCTACAAACTTGCTCCAAGTATGCTTCTTGTCGACAGGCAAAGTACCCAACATGTTGAGCAATGTGCGATTAAATCGCTCGGGCTGTGGATCGCCCTGTGGGTGATACGGAGTTGTCCTGGATTTAGACACCCCCAGAAGAGACGCAAGCTCCTTTATAAGCTTGTTGTCAAACTCTCGCCCCTGGTCTGAATGAAGGCGTTTTGGGAGCCCATAGTGCAGGAAATAACGTTCCCACAACACCCTAGCAACAGTTCTGGATGATTTATCCCTGGTTGGCACAGCTTGTGCATATCTTGAGAAATGATCGGTTATGACTAAGATATACTGGTATCCACTCCTATCAGGTTCCAACTTTAAAAAGTCCATGCACACCAACTCAAGAGGAGAACTGGTTGATATATTCACCAAGGGCGCAGCGACCCTTTGCGTTGTTTTCCGGGAGACACACCTAAGGCAATGAGAAACCCAATCCTCTATCTCCGAAGTCATCTTGGGCCAGTAAAACCGCTGTCTAGCCAAAGCAACCACCCTCTCTACTCCCATGTGACCCAGGTCATCATGAAGTCCCTTCACTGCCTGTTCTCTGAACTTCTTAGGCAACACCAACTGAAACGTCTCCTCGCCAGCTGGACTGATGACCAGACGATACAGAATTCCCTCTCTCAAAACCAGCTTGTCAAACTGGGCTACCATCATCCTCTCTTGGGGAGTCATATCAGCCACAACTTTAGGTTTCTTGCCATCTATGACTGCTGGAAGGATTCTTTTGAATGTATCGTCGCCAGCTTATTCTTTCTTCCATTCGACTGGTTCACCAGATCCACTCCCATCTGGCGTAGAATACAATGCAGGAATAGCCTCAGTACCCAGAGCCAAGGAATGCACTAAAGGATAGGTTGGGGTTTCATCAACTTCACTGCCTGCAGAGCTTGGCAAGAGGCTGGCAGAAATAGCATGGATGACTTCAACATCACAGTGCTTTTCAGTCTCGCCACTTTCACCCTGCAATCGAGCTTCCAGGATGTGGATCTTTTCCTTCTGATCGACAACATCCAAGTTTTGGCAGACGATCAAAGATCCTACCCAGCCGCTTCTCCATCTCTTCCAGGGTTGGAGCGAATACTATGATATCATCCATGTACACCAGGACTTCATCAAAATTCAGACCTGACATACACTGTTCCATCAACCGTTGGAATGTTGCTGGTGCTCCCTTAATGCCTTGGGGCATTCTCTCGAACTGGAAAAAACCAGCTGGACACACAAATGCCGTCTTTTCCTTGTCTTGAGGCTTCATTGGAATCTGGTAATAACCTGATTTCAGATCTAGCACTGAAAACCATTTACATCCATGTAGACAGTCAAGAGCATCTTGAATAACGGGAACTGCATACTGATCGGGCAAGGTACGGGAGTTCAAAGTCCTGTAATCTACACAGAGTCTCATCTGGCCATTCTTTTTACGGACGATGACAATTGGAGATGCATACTGACTTTTGGATTCAGTGATCACTCCAATATCCAACAGTCGCTGCAAGTGATCCCTAAGATCCTTCAAGTCAGCCGGGGACACACGCCGAGATCTCTCGCGGAAAGGCTGCTCGTCACTTAGTCGGATTTCATGTTGAATTCCATCAGTGAGACCAACATCCCACTCGTGCTCGGAAAAGATCTCTGACCTCTGATGGGCAAGTCCTAGAATTCTATCACGCCACTCTTCACTGATGGGACCCCACTTGAAAGGTAAGTTAGCAAACTCTGTCCTTGTCGTCGGTCGATCATTTCGGTGTGAATTTGACGAGTCTGATGGACTTGCAGAAATTTTGCCACTATTTGCACCCTTGCTGCAGACAGATTCACTTCTCCAGGCAGGTATGAATGCCCCTGCCAGAGCACACTTGTTCGGCAGCTGTACACTTTTCCCTGTTGAATTCAACAGACATACGCTGACTCTATTGAATCCAGCACCAACTTTTACCAGGGAACACGCTACGTCCAAACCACCAGGCAACTTGCGTGGCACAGCAGCATCAATCAGTACAGTAGTTTGTCCTCCAACTCTGTTACGAAGTGTGCCAGCTACAGTCTTCATTGAATTGGCAGGAATTGTAAGTGTACCCCGAGAATGAAACTTTATGACTCCAATGCGTCCATCAGATCGAACCCTTTTGGAGAGTTCGAGGTCTCTGTAAATCTTGGCACAGGTTGGGTGTACATCCATTTGTCCAGTCGTGGCTACTCTTCGGAAGTCTCCACCAAACACAGCCTGGTAACAATTCCGCAGTACACCAGAATTGGTACCAACAACCAACTGGTGCCTATCTGAATCTCTGCCATCTGGCACCACCAATGCCAGTGTCAGAAAAGACTCGTTTGTGCCAGAGAACCCGACATCAAGCCCAATTTCAACTTGGGTCCACCCAAGATATGGCATTGTGCCACTTCCACCATGCCACAAAACCAAATCACTCATTGGATACAGGGTCCTCCGCAGTTGCTGGAAGAAACTGTTACATATGAGAGTCACTTGTGACCCTGTATCTAACAAGCAATGGGCTATCTTTCCATCAACATAGCCTTTCACAATCAGCTGCTCTCCAATTAAACCAGCAGGAATATCTGTGCCAATTGTACAACTGGAATTGGGCCTTATTCTTTGGGCTTCTGGGCGGCCCCCCACAGATGCCCTGTCCCGTTTCCCTGATGGATGAACTTGATCAATGCACTGTTAACCTTTTAAACATCAGGCTCATTGGGGCATTTCCCTTTATAATGCCCTTCTAAGCCACACTTGTAACAAAAGTTGGGTCGGCTGTTTGTAGGAGTCTTCCTTTTCTCCCCAACTTCCTTGCTACCTGCAGATTGATGGAATGTTTTGGCCTCCTTTTTAGGAGCATCGACACTACGATGAGACATTTTTACCATCTGCTCAGCCTCCTCACGTCTCACCATTCGGAGGAGTTGAAGGTAGGTGGGGGGTTGTGACACTTTTTCCTTCAACTGCAAGTTAACCAAAAGCATCTCATCATAAAGAATACCCTTGATGAACTGAGAGAGCAGCAAGCCATCATTCTTCTCTTTCTCCACTCCACCCTTCCTGATCAATCTGCGAAGAATATCCTGAAGACGAGTCAAGTACTCTGACGGTGTCTCCCCTTGCTTCTGATGGGATGAATGAAATAGTACATGCAACTCGGTTGCAGATTCTGTACCTCCAAAAGCCAACTCGAGAGCACCCAAGTAATCTTCAGAAGTTGCAGCTTGTTGGTCTCGTCGAAGATCAGAAATTATGTTCGCCGCTGGAGGGCGAAGAGCTTCCCTAATTCGCTTCCTCTTTTCCTGGTCATTCTCCTCCTCATCCAGTTGACCCTTCGCCAGCTCAATCCAGGTGTCAAAGACATCTTCATCTTTGGCTGGTGTTTTGCTTCCAGAGAATGGCCTAAGTTTTCTGCTGCTGTTGAGTGTGCAACGTGCCAACGCCTCCCCCAACTGGTTCGCATTCTTCTTCTCTTGAGTTGTCGGCATCAAGCCTTTCTCGACAAGATCCTGAATCCTCACCCGATTCTTGACTACCACTCCCAACCGGTTAATTTTTAGGAGGAGGGCAGTACGACATCCGATGCCTCTTTCTCAAACTCACAGAGCAGCTGGGTAGCAACATCTCTCTCCCTCCGCGATACACTCATGATGTGCTGTACGGTTTTAGCGAGAGCGATCAGGATGTCTTCGGTTGTGTCAGTGAGAATGCCATCTGCTTTCAGGAGGAGGGCATGGCTCGGGCGGATATCTTCCTTCTTACACCAATCAGTTATCTCAACCTGCGAAGGAGCTTCGCTTGCCATCGTTCACTCGGTTTTAGAATTTAACTATATGGATGAGATAAGAAGCTAGAAAAATGCTCAAATTTAAAATGGGGAAAAACAAAAAGAATTTGTAACTGTTGGCTCTCAATACATGTGAACAATCACCTTCTTAAATTTACAATTTTACAGGCAGTTGTACAACAAACAAGGTTATTTTTTTTTTTTATAAATCCAACCCTAAATAAATGTGTCCTGGCAAGATCGCCAAATATGTAACCGTTTAGGGAAGGACACAGGAGAATAACAATAAATTAATTTCCAATCAGCTTTTATTGTGTAACAACAATTTCGTTTGGCCAAACAATTCAATCAAAATACAATCAATGTTTAATTAAAAGGATATGGATCCACGATGCTCAAGTAATACACACAAAAATGGGCCCAATGATGCGCACAGTAGATGGCCGGCCGGCAAGAAAGTCAATGTTACTCTTGGAGCTTTCAGTTCCAAAATAGTGACGTCCAGTCAACCGACTTGACTGAACCGGTGACTCCAACGAAGTCAGTAAACTAGCCCGGTACTGCAAGGCAGACGAAGTCGTTGGTCTCCTTGAGTAGGCTCACTCCAGTAGTTTTACGGAGCACCTCTGATGACCACTGGCCTACTGTAGTAGTTTCTTTACCAGGTGAACTTCAGATCTGGCAAACGTCAATCAGGTGAGGTCGTCCCTTCAGTTATCTCAACGAGAGACTAAGAAGTTCTCACTTGTATCTGAGAACCTGCGAACTGAGAACAAAATACAATACAAAACATGAACATAAGGTACAAAACCTAATATAGCCACGTGCACGTTTTTACAAGCTATACACTTTTCAATGTGTGTCCATTCCAATACACACTTTTCATAGATTCGTTGCAAGGGCATGCAAATTACCATAGCAACATGTATTTACAGGTACAGTTACCCATGCAATATATTTCAACTGATCCACCATGAATCCATCATGAGCACTAAACAACTCTTAACCAGCGCAACAATCACTTTAATTATTTCCAATAATTAACAAATCTAGACATGCACATGTTTCAACTACGCATGTGTACTAATGTGCATGTAAACTAACATTGACCCACTGCATTTGCAATCGCAACAAAGTTTGTCTGGGAAAACAAATCAACGGAAATTACTGCTTTCCCTGAATAACAAGAAGGCACAATAAATGCAAACAAAGAAATATAACCCAATGTGAAAAGCTACACGTCAACCCATTTTCTAATCAAAAGCTAGCACTCAAAAATATCCGATTCAAACCCCTATATATATCCCTGCATTACACGCGTTTCCCAAATAAACGTGTGCTTTTACACAGCATGAAAAGTCATTAATTCACACCCCTCAAATATAGGAAATATCACACACCTGAGAGCCAACAGTATGCTGAGCAGAAATAACGGATTCTTGAGGCACACAATAGGTTGATGATTCGCTCAAAAAGCGACTTTACAGCAAGATGATTCTGGATAAGTTTGTCGAACAAACTTTTATCGACAAACAAACTTCGTGAACAATGGCGATGGCAAGAAAACAGGCGCGTTTTTAGCGAACGCTTGAGGGAGCTACATCACTTCTCGCGACTCCTGGAAAGCAAGTGGCTACACATGTATTCTTTTATTTTGCTGAAATACCAACTTAATAAAAACAAATAGTGTGTACATAAAACAATATCAGTTACTCACTGAAGATCGTCCTGCTGACCCATATTCGCCTCCGAGTGTCTTTAACAAAGATGGTGGAGTGGAGTTTCTCCTCACAGCACCAAGAACTGCACCAAAGTTGCTGGATGTCAGTCGATTTTGCTTATACGCAAACCTACACATCAAGAAATGAAAATAACAATTAAATATGTCTGTGTTTTGTTACTTGCATGCCCAAAGACATCACTCTTAAAAACTGCACTTCAGTTCTCTTGTGCTTGCAATCCAGATGTATAAAGTAAATAGTCATTTTACTTTACATAGGAATACAAAACTGTATTGTCCTCGGTAAAAGTAGCATTTAATTTGTTTACTAATGAAAAATTTGTTTACTAATGAAAAATTTGTTTGAAAAGTGAAACAACAACTATAAAATGCTTACCACAAAGCATTATGACGTTGACCAACAGTAGTCCTTTCAATCACCTTGACATCCTCTTCAGAAACAGCCATGTGTTCTACTACATACTCTACTTTGTCCGGGGCATGTTCAAATTCAGGTGTGCTTGTTATAAAAGCATAGCTTTTTATTTGTTTGACCTATTGAAAAAGTTGCATAAAAGTCTGTTAGTGAGCATTTAAGTCCAGAATGTGGTGTTGATTGGGTGGAGAAACCACAAACCAACCCTGAAGAAAATATACTGACATGCGGCAAAGGTGATAGTTTGAACAATGCTGCCATTGATTTCACACAGTTAGGGAAGCATTACACCTAAATCAAACAACATTTTAAAATTGTCTTTATTTTAGTGCATGCACTCTATTTGGTCATTGTGCATGATTACAATATTTAATTTTGGTTTTTTGTATTTAATTTTTGTTTGACACCAAACTGGGGCACTTGCAAATTGTAGAAGTAATTAAGATTATCTTATCAAAGTGCACAGTTAAAAAGTTTTTATGGGTGTTTGTACAGTTTTCCAATATGTCTGCACAATTATATCCCCAAAAGAAACTGTCTGCCTACGATCCTCCAACAAAATTGAGTACCTTGCAATTGATGAACGATTAAATTTGTGTGTTTTTAAATCTTAAGCTTATTTCACCCTAATGTATTTTGGAAAAGTAAAGTGGTATTATTATTATTATTATTGTTATTATTTATTCGGCCAAAAAATTAACAAAAGTACAATGACAAAGCAAATAAAAAGTAAAATAAACAAAAATTGGAAATTGAAAAGTAAGACCAGACAAGACTGAAGAATGCGAGTAGGAATGGGTCGGGGAGGGGGAGGGTGGACAGTTTGACAGGGGAGAGGAGATAGAGGGACAGAAAACAAAAACAATATAACATTCCAAACCGGCCAGGGTAAACAAAAGTGTACTAAAACACTGTAGCTCTAAGGCCTGCCAACCCATGCTCGAAATGTCTACACAAAAATTAAATAGTATTCAATGTAAATACAAATATGTAGGAGTGCCAATATATAAATGAAAAAAAAAACTAAATCAAAACAAAACAAGAACAGAAACACACGGAGGCATTTCTACCATGTACATTTTTGGGAAGGCCTACACAATTGACACAATTGGCACAATTGCAGACTGCACAACCCAATTGGCACAATTGCAGAATACCCCGCCACTCGATCTATCCACCTCGTAGCCGGCTACGAGGTCACGGTTGGTTGACCTCCATTGTGCCAATGGTGTGTATAGGCCTTCCCAAAAATGTACATGGTAGAAATGCCAAAGTAGTCTGCCGAGGGGGGTAATAATAATAATAGTGGATATTTATAAAGCGCACGTATCCACCAGGACTGGTGCTCAAGGCGCTACATCATTATTACCCCTGCTCATTGGGCACATGAAACAATCCAAATACCATCTCAGCTCCCTGGGGAGTATACAGATCGATGCAGCCTGTTAGGCGCAAGGAAGCTAATTCAATCACGATGGCAACGCATACTGCAGCCTGCTCCACACCCTGGAAACGAGGTTGGGTCTACGGTGCTCGCTATTTGAAGTACAAGCATTGAGATGTGCATGATAGAGCATAGGGCAAGCTCTATGGATAGAGTGCTGTTGCTTCCATCAAGGCTGAGCCACGTTTTTGTGATGTTCGCTGCCCGCCACGTATAATTCAGTGTCGCGTTAAAATTTCTGGGGCCTGTTTTGGGATCAACGAAGGATTGATGCATTGCTTCAAATATCGCGATCTTTGAAACTACGTTGCATAAATAATAATATCCATTGGCGGACGTTGTTGGCTGTTTGGCCTTGCTTATGTTGTGGTTGAAAGGCCAACTTATATAAAAGTTGAATTGACTTTTTCCACACAGGTCTCGCAAATTGTAAAAGTATCAAGTTATGGAAGTAAACAAAAAGAGAAATACACTAACAATTTACAAGACAAAAATATAACAAACAAAAATAACTGGACCTCATTTTAAAAACTGTTTTCTTTAAGTATGTTTATAGAATATTAAAATGTCAAGGCAAGTCTGATTTCATATTCATTCAGTGGCTACACACAAGCCCTTCAAGTTTTTTCCCAACCTTTTTCCACCAACACAACTTGACACCTCTCCAGCCGCCCAAGGCTAGCGTCCACTCACCTGACAGGCAAAGGAAAATAGAGCCGTGTGTTCCCATGCAACAAAGCATGTAGTTCACAGCCACACCGCACAATACGATTGTTTTGGTTGGAAAATATAACTAACCTTCTTTTTCTTCTCGTGCTCAGGGAAGTATTTTAGCTTATTTTGTTGTTTTTGTGGAACCTACAACAATTCTCAACCATATCTTTCAGTCTTGATTCTATTTAACTTATACATAACCGGTGATTATATCAACTTCATCCTTAGTAAGATCAGCTTCACTTGAGGCAGAATTTTTTGCCAAATAGTATACCAGATAGAATAACCATCACTGTATGTACATGTATTCTTTTATTTTGCTGAAATCCCAACTTAATCAAAACAAATAGTGTGTACATAAAACAATATCAGTTACTCACTGAAGAT